GAGAGAGAGAGAGAGAGAGAGAGAGAGAGAGAGAGAGAGAGAGAGAGAGAGAGAGAGAGAGAGAGAGAGAGAGAGCACGGGCAGTGATCTGTGATAACGGGCCTGCACGGGCCTGTCCTGTTCACCAGGGCAATAACGGAGCAGGGGTTGACCTTCGAGGGGGAAAAAAAAGGTTATATTCGAATACAACAATTTTCTCTTCGTGAAATTCTAATACAACACATATGTGTATTATTCGAATAGAACGCATATGCGGTATTTTCGAAGTGCCCTTGTATTCGAAGAAAAGGTCTAACTTTCAAAAAACCAGTTTTTTTGGAAAACTTGAATACAACACATGCGTTATGTTCGGTTAGTTGCCCGGGTCCCTGTATCTAGACAGACGGTTGCCCCAAATACAGAGCTATGATGACTGGCCGTTCTATTTGGGTGAAGAGGGCAAGTGCCAGTAACTGAAAGTTACACCAGTTACCCATTAATTACTGCGGTAAGTAGTTTTTATTTTTACTGGTAACTTAACTTTTTTTTTTTTTTTTTGGCTGATTGGTTCAATGAACTTTCACTGAGGGCACAGTTACACACTAGGAGTTTTTCTACTTAGCTCTGGTCATGATTGCGGTCAGATCCATGCAGGTCCGGTCGTAATTGCAGGCAGATGGGCTTAGGAAAGTGCTAGTGCCAGTATGCCCCTGAGGGGAGGGGGTACACAAATAGATTCTTGTTATTGGGGTCCTAGGAGGCAGACATGCAAACAAATGTGAATTTAAAATTTGAAAATTTGAAAATTTGAAAATTTGAAAATTTCAAATTTCAAAAATCCAAAATTTCAAATTTCAATCCAAAATTTCAAATTTAAAAAATCCAAAAGTTCAAATTTCAAAAATCCAAAATTTCAAATTTCCAAATTCAAAATTTCAAAAATTGAAAATTAAATGGGTTGAAGTGAGCAGTTGCAGCGGCATTCATTTAAAAAAACCACATGGCCCTTTTCTTGGCGCCACCGCTTAGGGCCGTTCTCTTCTCCGTTGTTTAACTATGCTCATTTTGTAGGCTTTTTTCAGTCTCCTTTTCTCCCTTTTTAGTTATAGTAAATAGTTTTAGTCCCCTCCCTCCCCCGAGCCACTACCGACGCCACTTTGTGCCGCTTGTTCACTTTCCATCTCTCTCTCTCTCTCTCTCTCTCTCTCACATACTCACATACTCACACACTTGCAAACACACAAACACACAAACACACAAACACACAAACACACAAACACTGTCTTGATAACGAGTAGAATGATGGTCTTGATAACCAGTAGAATACGGACAAAGTTTCCATACATGCAAGCGCACGTCGTGCGGGCGGTTCCCTACGTGCGGCGCACGCGCCCAACCGATCCCGTGCGGCGCACCACGTGTGCGGAGAACGACTTTTCCCCCCTCAGAAAAAAAAAGGCCGGGGTCGAAACGGCGCGTCTGAGGCCCCCCACCAAAATTATAAGCGAGCTGAAAAAAAAAATTACAGGAGTACTGCCTCACCTTGCTCCTCCTCCCCTTCCTCATCCTCCATGTCTCCTCCTGCCTTCTCCTTTTCGTCTCCTCCTTTTCGTCTCCTCCTCCTCCTCCTCCTCCTCCTCCTGTTCGTCCTCCTCCTCCTGCCCTTCCTCATCCTCCTTGTCTCCTCCTCGTCGTACTTCCTCATCTTCCATGCCTCCTCGTCTCCTTCCCTTCCTCGTGTCTTCCCTTTCCTTGTGTCCTCCCCTTCCTCGCCGTCCATGTCTCCTCCTCCTCCCACTCGTCCTCCTCCTCCTGCCCTTCCTCTTTTCCCTCCGTCCATCTCTTCTCCTCCCCCATCTCGAGGACTCCTCCTCATCGACATCCTCCTCCTCCTCTCCATATTCCCCTCTCCTTGCCATATCCCCATCTTCCTGTCATACGCCCCCCCGTTCCCCCTCCCAAAAAAAGATAAAATAATAAAAATAAAAATAAAAAACCTGCACGATTCCGCACAGGCAACCCCCGCACGGAACTCCGCACGAATGTGCGGCTCGTGCGGTTGCAAGTGGGGGACAAACACAACTACTGTCTTCACTCAAATAGAACGCCCGGTCATTTCTTAGCTGTATTTGGCGTACTATTCAGATTTACTAAGAGGGCATATCACACTGTAACTTTTTCCTCTTCTCTCTGGACGTAATTGAGGTCAGGTACATCCAGGCACGGTAGGAAAAGCCGTCATATACATCCATGAAAGTCCTAGTGTGAGTATGCCCTCAATTTAAGTTAATTACAGCAATAATGACGGAATACATTATCGGTCGTTCTGTTCGGGTGACAACCATGGGTGTTGATAGTTTCAGCCTTTCAGGAACATAATGTTGCTATTCAAATCATTTGGTCAAGAAATGATATCTCTGCATCCCAGCAGACACTGGAATGCAGAACGGAATGCTGCTTTGATTTTGGATTTACTCATCTGGATGGAACAGGGGCTCTGTTGTGGTGACAATCTACAACACATAATATATATATATATATATTCTGTTTGACGATATATATATATATATATATATATATATCCTCTTCTCTCTCTCTGCCTACGGTTTACCGGGCAGTTCTGTTTGTGACGATATATAGTAAAATAATAAAAATCTACAACACAATGAAGACATGGCAGGCATGCCATTGGGTGTCCATGGCTGAGTGGGTGTGTAGAGTGAGTCTAATGACTGTCAGATTAGTTTCTCAGACTTACTACCCTTCTTGTCAAGGGTTTGGACCAGGTTCAGACCTGCTAGGATTGCAAGGTTGGTGTGAGACTGAGTAAAGTCGACCACATTTCTCTCTCAGAGGTATTGCTCACTCTGGGCGATGTGGTGAGTCCTTATCCTCCATCAGTCAAATGCATCCTGGGCAGACTGTCTGTCGAGGTTCAACCTCCTGATGAGTTGGTGAAAGTCAGATGAAACAGTCTGTTCGGCACAGTCATGCTTTTTTTGAGTGTATAGCGAATACGAGTCTGTGAAAGTCCAACGACACAGTCTGGCACAGTCATACTTTTTTTGAGTGTATAGCGAATATGACAACACACACACGCACACACGCACACACGCACACACGCACACACGCACACACAAACATGCAAACACATACAAACACCCACACCCACACCCACACCCACACCCACCCACCCACACAACAACACACACACAAGACCACTTTTCTCAGGTAAAATAAACAATGACTGCTGTGTGTATCTCCTTGCTTGTGTTGTGTAGATATGATCGAGATTGGAAGAAAATTGAGCAGTATGTGGGAACCAAAACTGTGATTCAGGTAAATGCCCTTCTTTTTTCCGCTTGACCACCCCCTTTTCAGGTTCTTAGAAGGAGAGTGTTCGGTCCATTGGAAAATGCAGAATCGCTCATACTGCACTCCCACCCATGCCATCACACATAAAGATGCGAGCTCAGATTAAAAAAAAAAAAAAAAAAAAAACCTACCTCGTTCTTCTAGTGAAAGTATGTTGTCTGACGGACGGTACTCTGTTTCGTACTCTGTCGCATGCATTTCTCAAGTTTTTTTCTTTTTTAATTTAGTGGACAACAATATAGAGGGTACTATTAGGTGTGACCTTCAGGACAGCCGTTGAAAGGATTGGAACGATACAGAGAAAGAGAAGATTAGCATGGCCCCTGCGCATTTAAAGGATGACACGCGTAAATTGAGAAACGGTCCAATTTTTTTGGAGAAAGAAGGTACTATCAGGAAAAAAAGAAAGAAAATAAGGTACCATTAGGTAAGGGACATGGTGACTCCGCCGTGCTTCCATGTGCAAGGAAACTGAGCAATAGCGAAATAACCTAGGCTACCAGTCGAGCCGCCCTGGTCAAAATATCCTTCTCTGCCTGCGGTTTACCGGGCAGCTCTGTTTGACGATATCTTTATATTTTTAATTATTTTTTGCTCTGGCGGGGCAAGTGGTCCCGGGCCACTCTGGTAGCCTATGAAATGACAGACTTCCAGATTGCAAAATCACATTGAATGCCAGATAGTCGTAGCTGTCCTTTTTTTTTTTTTTTTTTTTTTTTTTAMAACMCCCCCAGCAGTGCTAGTGCTACTGATAAGAGCAGACAGCACTAGCACCCGGAGAGAGGCTCCCTCTATTAGTGGGGAGCATCACCTGCTGGAAAATGGGTCCAGCGTCCCTTACACACAGAAAGATTCAGCAGCATGACAAAGAGGAAAAAAAACAGAGGAAAGCACCTGCCAGCATTGATTACTCTGCCTTCCAGAGGATTGACTGAGCAGGTTAATGGGAAAAGGAGAAACCTCTTCGCCCTATACCAGGCGCCAAATACCTGCTATTTGAAAGACTAGTTTCTCCTTCTCCCAAAGGATTTTTCCATCCCATCCCCCCAATAAAGCATCCACTAAACATTCACCATTTTGATGCTGTCTCATTCCATACTACCTTATCTCGTAACCCCCCCATACCATTCCATTTCAACCAGAGCTAAAGGAGGGGGTGGGAAGAGATCTGGAAAGTCTGAGAGTGGCCGGAGCGGGATAGAGGGGTCAATCTGGGTCCAATCTTGAAAGCATAGGTGGTAATCCCTTTCCCCTTCCTCAACATCTTCCTCCTCTTTCTCCCCTCCCTCCCATATTACCATAGGGATCCTAACCCCTTGTCGCCCGCCCAGCCAGTCATTACAGAACTTCTCGATGAGTTGTCTAATTTCTCGTTTAGAGTGTGGGTATGTGATTTTTTCTTTGAACTTTTCCCATTGAATAAAGATGTCCTCCTGTATTTGTTCCTTAATTGTGTTGATGAACTCAGTTCCATCCCGGCGCACCCCTTCCATTTCGAGTGTGCATCGTCTCCACCAGATGGACCAGATAACCGTTTCTTCAAAAGGGGGGGCTTGCTCTGGGGCCCATGCCTCACAGAGGAGTGCTCTCCAGTCCCATGGCCAAGGTTGTGAGGTGCTCAATTGTCTCCATATGCGGTCCCACCACCTCCACAACCATATTGCTGCCGGGCATTGCAAGAACATGTGTTCTTTAGTCTCAGACCATTTACGAGCGGGGAAGGATGTTGTGCATATCTTGCACCATGGGAGTGCCACACCCTTTTGTTCTAAGCGCGTTCTATCATTAGCCAGTCATTGGTTAGCAGGGACCTATGCTCTATTTGCCATTGAAGTGAGGTCAGTTTTGCCGGCATGACCCTGCTTGCCTTAAACCACTTAACCGGCCGCAGCATATCTCTCCCCACGTTCAGATGTTTCATCCAGCGTGCCTTTAGCACATCTTCCAGATTTACTCTCGGTCGCAGCATTTGATAGGTCGCCTTGACCGAGAGAGACTGTAAGTGCCGCACACCAGATTTTCCTTTCCCATATTTCTGGGACCATATCCACTCATCGGGATCAAGTGGTAGCTCTTGGATTGGTTTGTTCGGCTTGTATGCTCGCCATTGGTCATTTTCTTTAAGGACACGGATACGGTATAACCCAGACCTCAGACACCATACTGGCTCTTCAGGCTGCACCCGCTCTAGACCATTACTCGTCATTATTCTAAAACAAGTGGCAGCCACCTCCTGTTCCTCCCCCTGCCGACCTGGTGAGTATACACTACGTTCCTAACTACCCTTTCTGTCTCCCAGAACCCCACCCAGTCACCTTCCATTACCTTCGGTCCTTTTCTCAGGATTCGGACCTAGTCGAGAGGGATGGCGAAGATAATGGTTTCCAGCACCTCTCCCACTTGTGGCAATTCCTCAGTTTCTTCCTCACAGCCAATCCTTGGTTTCCTGATCCCAAATATCTTTGACTCGAAGCACCCCGTTCTTGACCCAACTCTTCCAAGGGTTTTCACTGCTATGGAAGACCCTACTTTGGGGGCCTGTTACCCATCGTTTTCCAAACAAAGGTTGACCGGCCACTTCTTCCCAACGCTTGGGTGGGACTTTGTCTGGTAGGGGCAGCTTACGCCAAGTTCTAAGTAACGTGGCCCAAAGAGGGTCCTTTTTCAAGTCTTGCCGGACTACCTGTCTGGCAGAACCTCCCTCCACATTGGGCCGGGACGATTTTTGGGGTATAGACCAGTACCTATCCTCAAGCCACGTTTCTGGTTCTATCTCAAAAGGCGCCGGCGGCGCTAGCCTGGCAATTTGCTGCAATGCCAACAGTTGCCATGGCGCTTGTGTGGAGAAGAGCAGGCCTTTAACCCACTGAAGGGCCAGGGACATCACTCGAGTAGCTGGGTCAGTTATTCCTAGAACCCCTTTGGATTTTGGTTGCATGACCGATTGCCAGGCCACCCTACTGATAGCATTAGGGCACTCATGATTCCCTCTCCATAAAAAGGCAGCCACCTGTAGCTGTCCTGAAAGCAGAAATGCACCGAAATCACACTGAAGGAGCAGTGAACTCAATTATTGTCAATGAGAGCACTCAATTATTGTCAATGAGAGCACTCAATTACTGTCAATGAGAGCACTCAATTATTGTCAATGAGATCCCTCTCTCGCCACTGCCAACAATGTACTCGAAGCTCTTCCTCCCTACTGGTGCTCAGCGCTCGGACTACGATCCTACAGCTGCAAAGCTAGCCTACGAAATGACAACGCAACCAGTTGACGTCAGCACACGACTCAGCAGTAGCAACCCAAGTACATGCTGATGTCAACCATGCAGACCTCCACCAGGACCAGGTACTACGTGCTCTCACATCAATCCTCCACTCGCTCTCTCTCAAGCTCACCCTCAACTTTTCCCCCATGCTCCTCCTTCAACCAAAGACCACCCCCACTAACCTGCCAGCTATGTCAGGCCCAGGTCCGGCTATGGCTGCCTCGGCTATGGTGCTGCTTATCAGCAGTGCCCTCTCTCTTCCCCCTGCGCCCGTGTACGCCCGGGTCTTGTTCTACCAGTGGCCTCCAGCGTTCGAAGTGGCAGCGCTGCTGCTGAAGAGCAGGTGCCCCCTGAACGCCCTCGTCGCTGCCTGGCTCTTTCCTGAACGGAAAGCGGCCAGGCCCGACAGCTGCTTGTTGGGCTGGGCCAGGAGTGGGCCCAGAAGCTTTTCCGGTTGGGCCAAAGTGTCTGCGCTCAGGCCCATTCAGACCGTGAGTGGCCTGGGACCGAACTGGTTAGGCCGGCCCAGCCACCCAAGCGCAACCGTGAGGTGTGTACCCTGCCTGCTTCCAATGCATTGCTAGAAGAGCTCAGACATTTATGTGGGTTTACATACCACCATTCAGCTAACCATGTCGTTAACAGCTTGGAAGGCTCTCCAATGTTTCTGATATTTCCCGAGCAGGGCGGATGTAACCAACTGGCACGTGGCAACTGTCTGGCACCCACCAAGATTTTGCAAACATGCTTGCTGTAGGGGCCACATGCAGGTATGCTGAGGGTTTAAAAACTTTAAAATCCTCGCACTTGCCTTGATAGTGCCAAAACTGTTGTGTTGAGATAAACGTTTTTCAATTATTGAATTCACTTCTAATTTCTAAAATAATTACCCTTGTCATGGCAAAAAAAAAAAAGGGATTTGAAATCTCAATCTGTTAACGACTATTATCTTATTACGTGTGTATACATGCCACCATCCAGCTAACCATGGGACACCTACCGGAAAGCTTACGTTCATGTTTGCGGGCTGTAGCTGCTAATCCTACAGCCGCCTTTTGCATTGCCTGCTTAGCTCAGTGGGTTTACAGATCCCAGATTCTGAATGGACGCACTCACGACCAAAAAAAAAACAAAAAAACAAACCCCAACAACAACAGCTGTGGCCTTTTTCGTTGCTGGCTTAGCTCTGTCAGTATAATAACAGCGGACAGAAGTAACGGAAGCGATGATGGGTATTGGTGCTGTGATACTTGTGGGTGCTTTGCGTGTCACAGTGCAACACTGACTGGCAGTGGGGCCTTCGGAAATAAACTTGCGAAAAGAGCAATAAAAAGTATAACAGGTATGTTTTCGTGTCGTGCACAAGGAAAATGAGGAACATCGATAGATAGAAAACCGAATTGCAATATAATCATGCTGAAGACCAGATAGTAGTGTACCAAGGAGAAAGCACAATGCACCGAGATACACGCCAAACAAGAGCAATACAATGAACTCAAACGTCGATGTCAGCCCTCTCTCGCCACCTACAACAATGTATCCAATGTCGCCCTTCTTCATTGGCGCTCAGCGCCCAGCCTATCATACTCAGCACCAATCTAGCCGACCACTAGGACATGCAACAGGAGTCAGTTCAAGCTGAAATAGACCAATGTACGTGAGGAAGTTGCCAGTGCAGACTGCTGCATACACCAGATATGTGTCTCTTCTCCCCTCTGCCTCCTCGTCCCCTTCTCCCCAAAGTGTGCATCCTCGCCACCCGAAGACCACCATCGCCATAACCAGCCTGCGAGCCGCCAGCCCGGCTATGGCTGCCGTGCGCCCACTGCCACCGCAGTGCCCACACACCACCGTGCGCCGGTGTGCGCCCTCTGGCCGCTCTGATGCAGCCTGCTTGCGCCATCTGCCAGCACGCGTCCAGGAGCGAAGCCAGAATGTCCTCTGGCTGGGCGCTCACTTTCCTATATGGAAAGAGAGCCCTGCTCGTGGGGGACCTGGGCCTGGCCGCTGTGTGCCCAGTAGCTTCGCTTCGGGCCAAAGTGTCTGTGCCCCGGCCCCATTCAGACAGAGGCCTGGCCCCACAGCAGTTAAGCTGCCCAACTGTGCGACGTGGCTTCTGTCACTCACGGGATTCTCATTGGCCCACAGGCCGCTTGCCACGTCGCTGCCTGGATTTGGCCGAGAGCCTCTAGCCACGCCGCCCGCTGTGTAAGCCCAGAGGCTCAGCATGTCGTGCTTGTTTTTTTTTATTTTTAAGCCCAGGATGTTGCAGAGGCCAAGGACCGGACCGACGGTGATCGCTGGCAGTGGCAGCTGATGGTTGTCCTGACAGGATAGGCCACCTTCCCTACCCTTCCCCGCTGGCATGGCCTTGTAACCATTTGGCACGCGAAAACTATCTGGCGCCCCACCATGCAAAACTGACAAAAATAAGGCCTCATGTCAAAATGCAGGCCCGCATTCAGTTAGGGGGGGCAGGAGGCTTGCTGGGGGCCCTCTAGCAGTCCGGGGACTGCGGCCAAAAAGGCCTTGCGAGGGCTCAATCCTCGCAGTTGCTTAGAGGGCGAGGTCTCCCGCTCACCATTGGAAGAGAGATCAGGTGTCCACGGGGAATTCTGCTCTTCAAGGAAGACCCGGAGGCCAAGACTGGCATGCCATCATTCGGAACCGGGATTATGGGGAGATGTCCCAGCATTTGGTACCAGCTTTTACGTTGCCACTTACTCAGGCTCTTTAGCCAGCTGGCCAGTAGCATGGGAACGAAGCCTTGTATCTAGACAAGAAGTCCGTCCAGCAGCAGAAGGAATATCATGGCAGCAGCCTTGGAGCCCAGCCGAAGGCTCACGCGAGGCCAACGGTTCGCATGGGCTTTCCAGGCTTGAGATTTCATCATTGTGAAAGGACCCAGTATCCACCAGCTGCACCCCGAGAAGGGTCAGGCTGGCAGCGTCCTCTTTATGGGGAAGGCTTATTTCAACCGGGCTATTTTCGCCCCTGCCCTCACTCTTTCTGACCTGGCGGCGCTTGACTATTTCCTGCCTCGACGGTTCTCGACGGTGGCCTTTGTCTTTTGGCGGATTTTCATGTGCGCGTTCAGAGGCGCTCCGTTCCTGGTGCCTGCACCGCAAGACGAACGGTTGAGATCTTCATCAGATTCTCCGGTTCGTGACTCACCACGCGAAATCCGGACCCGCCCGCCCGTGCCCTCGGTGCTGCGCCGCAAGACGAACGGTTGAGATCTTCATATACGGTTCGTGACTCACCACGCGAAATCAGGGCCTGCCCGCTCGTGCCCTCGGTGCATGGGGGGTAACCCCAAACTTTCCACTTTCCTCTGAAAATCTCAACTGTTTTTTGCAAGCTCTCTTATTGTTCAGTTTTCCTGAACTCAACTTTTTTTTTTTTTTTTTTTTTTGGGAGAACTCAACTTTGCAGATTGCTTTATTTCCTAGGTATTTATTGAAATTAGAAAAACTGTATGTTTCCCTTGCAATCAGAGTGAATACCTTGTCAGTTTATACCCCTTGTCTCCATGACCCCTCTTACACCCCTGACTAGGAACTCGCCCTAGGAACACACATGTTTGTTTCTTTATTGTTTTGTTGTTGTTGAAAACCTAGGCTCTCTGATTGTTGTATGTGATGCTCCTTGTTCAGGGTGTTGCCAAAGGGGACCACTTGCCCGGCCGAGCCAAAAAAGAAATTAAGATTAAAAATAAGAAAATTGTTTTTTATTTTATTTTATTTTTTAATAATTTTATTTTAATTTGGTAACGATTTTTTTTATTTTATTTTAATAACCATGAGCCGGGCCCGGCGTCCCTTATATTTCAGTGCCAGGAATCGGGCCTCGCGTCCCTTACAAAAAGTTCGGCGGTCCTGATTTCGGGCGAGACATCACCGGTCAAGCCCAAAAACTGGACCGCTACACACCACAAAACCTATGCACAAGAATAACACCGAAGAAAACAAATCAACCAATGTCTCTCTCTCTCTCTCTATATATATATATATTGTCCTCTTCTCTCTCTCTGCCTACGGTTTACCGGGCAGTTCTGTTTGTGACGATATATATATATATATATATCTCTGCCTACGGTTTACCGGGCAGTTCTGTTTGTGACGATATATATATATATATATCATCACAACCAGAACTGCCCGTTAAACCGTAGGCAGAGAGAGAGAAGAGGACATATATATATATATATCTTCCAACCTAAGCACGAATAGCACCACAAAAGGGATTCTAATCTTCAAAGAACCGAAACAGAGCGAAAGAGAACGCCCAAAATAAAAGAAAACCTATCAGGAAACTATTAACCCCAGCCCAGTGTTCTCTCTCTCTCTCTCTCTCTCTCTCTCTCTCTCTCTCTCTCTCTCTCTCTCTACACCTATTTGACGATATATACATATATATCTGTCTATTCGGACGAAGCATTGAGGTAATGAGAGGGCACAATGAATAATCGGTCAGAACAGCGAAGATCCGGAAAACGAAATTGACGTCACGCCCGAAGTAGGAGCTGTAGCAACAGCGAAGAATCCCGTTCGCAGCTTGAAGCCTGATGTCATCGACGGTGGGCGATACTGATCACGGCAAGAATTCGTTCTCTCCCCCAGAAATCAACGTTTTATCGATGCCCTGTCCTCCTCCATCTCCAACGCATCATCCCCATAGATTCCATCTGCTCCTCCCAAGTTTGCTGCAGGCTGCCCCCGATCAGTCTCATCAGGTATGTTGCCGTGCCTAGATTTCGCCAGTCAGTCGCCCACGTCTCAACGCCCTGCCCTCCTCAACCCAACTGGATTGCTGACAAATAGTCATTGTCAGCCGGAACCGGTGGTGGCCAGGGATCAGTCAGGTCCCAGCAGCGTGCCCCACTAGCACCCCAGCGCTCCTCCCCGCAACACCATAGCCTCCCCGACGTCAAGTTTTAGCAACACAGGTCAACAGATATCATCAACCCTAACGCGAGCCCCCAACGCCCAGACACGACCAGGAGCGTCACGTTAGCGCTGTGTTACCGCAGCGCTAATGTGACAAGTTTAAACCATCAGTACTTGGCCCAGCTATCGGCCGCGGCGCTTTCCCGTTAACGCGCCGGGCCTTTAGGGCTTCGGGGTACCGGACCACAATGGCTGGAAGCGCCAGCCAAAAAAATTTCGAAACGGTACCCCGGCGCTTCGGAGAAAATTTGCACGCAGGGGCATGCCAGGCTTGGCATCGATAGCTGGGCCAAGTACTGGTGGTTTAACATGGCCCTTCGATGTGACCCTGAGGCAAAAGTTGTTCAGTTTATTTTTCTGCATAACTTTTTTTTTTTTTTCAGTTTTTTTTTTTTTTTTTTTTTTTTTTGTTGGGACCTTTGCTCCTTTCATAGCCTGGCCCCCGGGCAAACAAAGTGACCCGGGCGCCCCATCTGGTAGCCTAGTTGAAAACTGAGGTACACGTTGTGTTGTCATGTTGCTTCTGTTGGCAATGGGGGTGGCTGTCACACAGATTCGAAGTCATGCACAGAAGTATTTCCTGAAAGTACAGAAGAATGGGACAGGAGAGCATGTGCCGCCTCCGCGGCCCAAGAGAAAATCTGCGCAGCCATATCCGCAGAAGGCTCCAAAACCAGGTTTGTCCTCTAGTGTAGCACTTGTTCATTTATTTTTAGCATTCTTTTTGAACTTTTTAGAGGCTCGCCACACAGGCTGTTGAATGTCGAAAATTTTCGAGGTGTCAGAAACTTTTCGACAGTCGGGCGGTCGACAGTTTTCCCCCTCTTCGCCACATAGCCTGTCGAGGGGCAAGGTTTTTGGTCATGGCCAGGCGGACGGGTGTCACGGAACAGTCCCTGACAACGCAAATTCGAACCTGACAACGCAAATGTGCACACAATTTTTGAAAGGTCGGCGGGCCACTGTCGAATTTCCGTCACCTGCAGGCTGGTGGAAACGGTTTCTGGAGGGCGGCTGTCGAAAGGACCATTCTGACACCTGTCGAAAGTTTTTGGAGCCGCAATTCTTCGAAAGTCTGTGTGGCGATGCAAAATTGTCGAAAACCGGGTTTTCGAAATCCTGTGTGGCGAGCCTCGTAGTATTTGCAGTTCTTGTCATGTTGTTATGGTCAATATATATGCGTCATACTTGCGGCGCATCAACGTGCGCTGCACCGCGCACATGCGCCGCACGAGGCACGCGCACGGGGTGTGGCGCACCCCGAAAATGAGGGGTCGAGAAAAGAAAAAAAAAGTTGGGGAGGGGTGTTTTAGACCCGAGTGGGATGTCGCATCATAAACCACAAAAAAATATTAACAAAAATTTGAGGCCGCGCGGGGCCTCCAAAAAAA